CAGCAAAAATCCTATGCCTCTCTCATGGTTTTAGATAGCCTCCACCAAAAAATAAAACTCAAGTTGCAATTTTTCTGACTGAAAATATTCTTGTGGGCCAACAACACGCATAAACTTGTACATACATATCTTATTCTGAATCATTTTCAACTCGATGCTTTAATATTTTCATGTTAAATGTATCATTTGATATTTGGTTAGGACAGTAGACGCATATGAATATGGTGACGTGCATTCTTTTCTGATAACTCCAATATCATCGACCTGAATGATATCAAATTTGATTTGATGATTGAAGTGACGTTAGTTATCAACTGCTCTAATGTTCACTCAAATCGCTCTCGAATGCCATATCAGTTGAGAGGATGGCGCTTATGACTATCAAATTGATAGTAGCAAAATATTTCGCTTATTACATCAGCGAAACTGATTCTATTTGCTTCCAGTTCAGTAGCTTAAAGCTTATATTTAGACGCTAATTCGGGCTGAAAATCTCACGCAAGATTGAAGTCTATTTTCGTTGTATTTCATGTTATTTCATGAGTTTTTAATAATTTATTGTAGTCCGTTTTTCACATTCAATAAGTTCGCTGCTGATAATCTAGATGTGATTCAGAGCGCACGTATTGCCGGTGATATTCTATTCTTACCAAATTTCAAATGTTACCAAATTTTTAGGTGCACGCGAAGTTTTTTCGAGCCACAGCAATGAATTTACTGTGGCATTTCGTGTGCCTTGCACTTTGTGTGGAATGCACTTTTGCACGTCCTGTTAGTTGTTCAGTTGTTTTTTTTTCAAAGAATTAACTGAGATGGGAAAGTACCTTTTGTCATTGAAACAAACACGAGAAAATATCACGCCTCGAGTCTTCCAAAAATTCCATCAGTTTTGACGATACGATATCAACTTCGAAAATTTACGAATAACTGACAGTATTAAATTGATGATGATGTTTTTGATTGAGTTCTTCAAATGATGTTCAGTTGAGATTCGTCCAGTTATAGCCTCGAGAGAAAGTCGAAATAGCAGAAGCGTTCGTGTCAGCAGAAGATGACGAGTTGTATGAGAAAGTGAAAAACGCTGAATGGGAGGTTAAAACGGAACGAGAACTCAGCATGGGACTTTTCGACATTTTCAGAAGGTTGATCAATGCATTCAGTCTTTTTTTTTTTAATGGGCAACAGAACTCCGTAAACCACCGCCATCCGTGAACAATTGTATTGATCACATACCAATTCTGATGGAGTTTTTTTTTTTGGAGAAAGAAAGTATTTTCGTTACAAATTTCAGAAGTTCACGACAACGACGAAGTTACGATCTGCACGACTGGATGACAGCTGAACAAAAAGATGAGATTCGTAATGTAAGATTGACTATCTGTTAGGAAAGATGTGATAAATCGTAACGTATTCTTCAGTGACAATCTTCCCTTCTTTCGCTTGCATCATACTGAACAATTTCCGACAAGTTTCACAACTCAGCTCAATCGATAAAGTAGCTTCAACAATGAAAACTCCCAACTTCCCATCACTAGTTCTTCGACGAACTTGAGCAGTACACGGTAGAAAAATAAAGTCGATCAAATCGCTCAGAAACACATTTTGCAGATGGAAAGAACGAAGATTGCACCAGAGGCTATCAGAGATAAAATACTGGTGTTTTATGAGGAACTCTCTCCTGAAACTAAGAACGAATGGGATAAGAAATATAAGGATCACTGCGGGGAATGGGTCAAATCGGTATGGTTTGATAGTGCATTTATGTGATGAGAGATCGATGAAATGAGCGAGTCCGCATCTGCGAGGAATTCCATCGGTGGAAAAATTGCATAAAATTTGATAATTTTCAAGTTCATAAAACAGAAGGCGTGCTTGAAACATTTAAAACAACATGTCAACTCGCGACATTCGGAGTTCGGCCTATGAAAACCCAAATTGCACAATCAAAAGAAATGTGATTTGCAATATGTTAGATCGCGTGATCATGATTGGACATACAACGAATAGATATCATCGGATGTTGACAGGATAAGTGATTGATTCAGAATGAAAATGGTCGTTGATTTTAGGTTGCGAGTGAGGATGAGATAGCTGAACTGAAGGAGCTGA